TGGGTAAATGTCCGCACATATGTTATTTTTGTTAAATTGACAAAAATCACACTTTGCCTAACAATAAGTACAAAAAAGAAAAAGATATCGCGTTGTACACCCTTGAAATGCAACTTCTCATAAATTAACAAATCTTGTTTTTTTCATCCTCAACTTTCCATCTTATCTTTCCGTCGCTGTCACTTTTTCATCATCAAAGAATCTTTATCTTTTTCCGCCGTCAACTTTTCATCTAACGACGTTTTGGCGGCGTTACCGTGTCCTACACAGAAGCTCTTACGCCAAAACATACACGTGAAATCAATCCGCCCGGTGTTAATTAAACTTTTACCTAGTAAATTAACTTGATTCATTTATAGAATATCTCTTTGGCGCAAAAAGAGCCTATTTAGAAAATAGCTGTGGTTATTTCTTGATGTCGCAAAGACGGCGGTCGATGATTCGCGGTTAACACCTAAAATCTATCTATAGATTCTCTTTGACTTTTTTTTAATTTTATGCAAGTGGTAACGCCTATTTGCACATTATCACTTCCATCGTCTATGTAATATTATCGCATATCGGATATACTAATGAAAATAATTTATTTACACAGCATATCGATTATAGCATTTGTTTTAAAATCTCTAGTCAAAAAAAATCGATTTTTGTATCATTCGGCGTATTCTTTCATGAACGTTTGTTTTTGTTTTTGTTTTGTTTTGCTTTGTGCTTCCCCATTCATGTATGTATGTATGCGAGTTAAATAAATTTAAACAACGATTATTTACAAATAAAAGCCTTCATAATCTTTTCTCTTGCTATTTGCATAAGCAATCGCCGCCGAGAAAAGTTAAGTGCTCATGTTATCTCGAATACAGCCACATGATAAATTGAAATGTTGAGCAGGGCGAAACGAAACATCTGACAGGAGGTAAACGTTTGAATTTTATCATGTAGAATTGTATTTATACAAACATTACAACATTGTTTACAATTAACGTGTGAAAATTATCCACGTGGTCCATCAATTTCATTAACTCCCCACTCAAGAATCGCCAAAAAAATTCGCGTTCACGTGAACAAAATGTGGTTCGACAGCTAGGTAAAACTAATGCATGTAATTGTTCCCAAGTAATTTTTGATCAACCAAATCCGACACAAAAACAGCCTAAACTTGGGAGCATTAATAAAAAATGTCGGTACATACATTTAAAATTTTCCGGACCAACAAAATTGATTAAAGGAAAAAGTCAAAATGTTTGTAATACACAAGTCTCCCAAGAGGTGAGTCTCGACCAATTTAATCTCGAAATTTCGCTTATGTATACCTTACAAATCAATTTTATATAAATAAACGAGCGACTATTTAACCAACTTAATCAGGCTTATATGAATATGAAATTAAAATAGACTTACCAAGCGCTAATATTTGTCAGCTCCCTTATTTAAAACATAATAAATGAAGAGCCTTATAAAAAAAATAAGAAAGCCTGTCAGTATCCAGACTATTTTGATCTCCTAGCTCATGAATTTATCGCTAGAGAATTTAGCTTTTGTTTTGAGTACCCACTGTATTTTTTCATCCCAAGATTGAGTTTGAAATTATCAAAGAAACAAATAAATGCTCAAATGTTTGGTTCTAATTACGAGTTAAATCAAATGGCAATATATTTATTTGCATCATTTTTGGACTTGATAAATATTCTCTAAAAAAAGTCAATCATTAATTCTATTTTTATATTCTAATTTAAATTAGGAAATTCAACACAAGATTTAAAAGTTGCATAGATACTTGTGTAATATCATGAACAAACCTAATTCACTTCAACTACGAGTTCGCTTTTGCATAAAGTAGAATACTGCATTTTAGCTATCCAACTTTATAAATATTTGTAAATAGTTCAATTTATCGAATCTGTTACCGATTTAGCTGTCTTCAAATCAGAAAATTCAGTTTACGTAAAAAATTTCGAATTTTGGATCTAACGGCTCGAATGATTTTATTTTTCTTCGATTTAAAAAGAAAATTTTGTACAGATTCTTGGATGGATCCCTGTTAAAAGATTCGTCGTAAATTAGGCAGTTCTTCAGGTTTAGACGAAGCTCTTTCGATAATAATAATCTATCCAGATTATCGGTGCGTCAGCAAAATAAGACGCATTGTTTGCTCCATAGCCAATGCTAAATCTTTAACATCAATTGCAGCATTTGTTATCAAGTTCGAAAGCGAATTGGTTGACGAACAAGGATTGTAAAGTTAGGGAAGAATTCAAAATTCCATATGTTTCAAGGCTTGCACATTTATACCACAGTAAAGCATTTTTCTAATGTCCCTTGACAACGAGTTCTCCCTTTTCAAATAAAATTTTCGGAAATTTACAAGTTGATAAATAAATTCACTTGGTGTGCCTGTTTCCAATTCTAAACATACTGGTTATTCGTATCAGCTTAAAAAAATTTTAGTCAATAATCCAATTATGATTATAGAAAATAAGGGAAAATATACAGTTATTTATCTCATCAAATTGGTATAAGTTTTAATAGCTCTATCTACAAGCGTCTCCGGTTTCTTTTGAGGGTTGTTCGACTCGCTGCAGATTTGTACTTTAGCTTTGATGTAAATTTGCCATTTTGTAGGATCATTGAGATAAACGCCAATTGCTGGGAATGCACATATATCGACAACCATGTTCGTCTCATCTTCATCTGTTGAAACCCATTCCATCAAAATTTCATTCAAAGGCTCTCCATGCTCGAACCACCGAATCGTAGCGACTGGCTCTTGAGTTAAAAGACGAAAATTGAGTATACGAGTAAAACCAAGTACAATTTCTTCTGCCCGATTTTCTTGTTCCTTTTTTACGGTGTGTTCAGTGATTGAACGATAGTGTTCCAATAGTTTAAGTAGCTGTCTTTTTAATTCTTTCATAATTTGATTTCCTTTTTGTCCGAAACCTCTATTCCCCAACATAGCATAGATTTCTTGACGGATTTTGATTTCAGTAATGCCAGTGATGTTATCATCTCCTTCTCGGGTGTTGGTAAAATCTTTAACCAAATTAATTAAATTTTCCGCACATATAACGAGCCTACTTTCGAGAATGCTGTTATCGTTATGATTATAGACAGACCGGTTTCTCTCTTGTATATAATCATCGTAAAATTTTAGGATTTTTTTGATTGTCAAATGTTGCAATACCGCACTGATTGAAGGTTTATGATCTATGTCAGCTTTGGAATTCATTATATTAAGTATTTGTTGGATTTTGGGTTTGTTGACAAGATATGCTTTTCCCTTGAGAAAAGTGAACTCTCGTAAAACTTCTTGAAGATTACGAATATCTTTGGTAAGATTGACGGAGTTATTCGAATCTTCATCGTCCCAACGAACATTAATTGCATTGCCAAGAGCGGATTGATAATGAATCGTCTCTAATTTCAGAGATTCGATCTCATCATTCAAAATATTGATTGATGAGAGATACTTCTTTTCATCTTGTTCCCAAGATTCTTTCTGATTTTGTAATTCTACGGAGTATTTTTCTGCATTGATTTTATGCTCCTTGCTTTCTTTAACCAATTGATCGTAGGCGGTGCGTATTTGCATGTAGGTTTTGCGAAGATCTTCGTAAGAAGTGTGAAGTTTTGTATAGTCTTGCGACTTCATTTCATACGCTTGCTTCATTTGGTGATAATGATTATACCAATTATTCTCTTTAAAGTTATTTATGACTTGTTGAAGTTTTTGATTGTTTTCACGCAAAATGCGGATTTCTTGGATCGTTTTTTCATTCTCTTCCGCAAATGTAAAGTATTTGTAGATATCAATACTTCCTAATTTCTTGATAAATTCCATTTCTATAGAGAATTTTTTGTACTTATTGTTAGGCAAAGTGTGATTTTTGTCAATTTAACAAAAATAACATATGTGCGGACATTTACCCA